CTATGGAACCAACCCAGATGCCTCTCAGTAGATGAATGAATCAAGAAAATGTGTATGTGTACAGACACACACACACACACACACACACACACACACACAATGGAATTATATGCCCCATTTGTTAGGAAATGGAAAGATATGCCCCATTTGTTAGGAAATGGAAAGACTTGGAAAAAATTTTATTAAGTGAAGCAAGCCAGGTCCAAAGAAACATAGGTCCCATGATTTCCCTTATTTGCAATAGCTAGTATATGTCTAGGACAAGCAGAAAAGGTCAAAAACTATGTACATATGACCATATTAGATGATGTTAAGTGAAATGAACCCCAAGATAGGAACACAACTATTTTTTCCTTTCTTGCTATTTTTTAACTTATTTAAAATGTACTATGTGCTTTTTTTCTTTTGTATGTTCTTCCCCCATGATATAACCCGTTTTCACTGTATTTGATGTCAGCACCCTGCATCTTGTATATACATTTTTCTAATTTGGGGAGAGGAAAGGAAATAACAAAATGTTGAAACAAGGATACAGGTTGCCCCATTGTAACAATGAGATACACAAGACACTATGTTAAAAAACAGACTTTACAACTTGGCCAGGGAGAGAGGATTTGGGAAGGTGGGAAAGGAAGGGACGGTAGGGGATAAACAAAGGAGGTAACAATGCTCAATAAGAAATGTACTCATTACCTTACTCATTACTGTAAACCCTCTGTAGAGTATCTTTACAATAAAAATATATATACAAAAAAAAAAAAAACGAGGGCTGGGAAGGTGGCTCAGTGGTAGAATGCTTGCCTTGCATGCATGAAGCCCTGGTTCAATTCCTGAGCACCACATAAGCAAAAAGAAAAAAGCTGGAAGTGGTGCTGTAGCTCAAGTGGTAGAGTGCTAGCCTTGAGTTGAAGAGCTGAGGGACAGCGCCCAGGCCCAGAGATCAGGCCCCATGACCGGAGCCCCCAAAAAGATTCCTATCCACAACCAGCAAAAAAGCCAGAAGCAGAAGTATTGAAGAGCATCAGCCTTGAGCAAAAAAGCAAGGGACAGAGTCCAGGCTCTGAGTTCAAGTCCTAGTACTAGTGTGTGTGTGTGCACATATGCGCAACACACACACACAGCTATAAAACATGTATCCTGAAGGAAGGGATCAGGGCAAGGGCAGAAGGCAGACAGGGCAGAAGGCAGACTTCATGAGATTTGTCAAGATTCTCAAAATGACAGGGAAGCAGGGCACCAATATATGATCATAGCTGTAAGCCTGGCTACTCTGGAGGGTGAGAGTGGAAGGCTATTAATTTGAGGCTAGCCTGAAGAGAAATGAGACTATCTCAAAAATAACTAACAAAAGACTGGTCTAGACCTATGGCTTAAATAGGAGACAGCTAGCCAAGCAAGAAGTTCAAGAATCCTTCCACCACCAAAAAGAACCCCAGGGTTTATGCATACAGTAGCAGTCCCAAGATGCTGTCCCAAGACCATTATTTCTGTTATGCAAAAAAAACAAAATGACGAGGACCTTGAATGAAACTAATTGAAAGAGTGTCCCATGGGCTGGGAAGGTAGCTCAGTGGTAGAGTGCTTGCCTTGCATGCATGAGGTCCTGGGTTCGATTCCTCAGCACCACATAAGCAGAAAAAGCTGGAAGTGGCGCTATGGCTCAAGTGGAAGAGCACTAGCCTTGAGCTGAAGAGCTGAGGGACAGTGCCCAGGGCGAGTTCAGGCCCCATGACCAGCAAAAAAAAAAAAAGTCCCATACTGAGGATGACCTACTTTTCATCACAAACTTATATGCCCTGTCATTATAGAGCAGTGATATTATGTAAATAGTATAACACATGGTAAGGTGCATCACAGCACTGACTCTGGAGCCAGATTACCAGCATTCAAGCCTAGATCCAGTATTCCCTTAGTGTGAGACATAGGTGGGAAATTCAAAGTCTTGGTGCCTGGTTTTCTATCGGAAAAATAATGCCATAGGATCTTTTGAGGCTTAGGAAGCCAGATGTATTGGCTTATGCCTTCAATCCCAATATGTGAGAGGCTGAGGCAGGAGAATTGGGAGTTCAAGGCCAGGGTGGACTACATGGTGAGATCCTGGTCAAAATTAAAAATTCCTCAGCCACAGGTCACCTTCCCTGCTCTCCTCAACCCTGAGAACCATCTTTTGTGTTGTCCTCCAGGTCTCAATGCTGAGGACCAGCAATCCAGACTGAGATGGGTTGGACACTAAGAGGGACTGCCGACCAACTAGAAAGGCTTTGTGCTGAGTGACTAGAAGGTGTCTGGAGACAGCCTTACAAAATCAGCCGCCACCCATCCACTCCACCCTGTGAGCAGCTCTCCTCTGCAGTAGTGCAATATTGCCACCATGTGGCCAGGTGCCTAAACAACAGCTGTCCCAGGTCCAGGGGCTCGGGAGCTAACAATAGAAATTTAAATGTGGGCCTTTGATTTGAAACCTTATCTCTCACATCTACTCTCACTAATGAAAACTGCAGAATCTTGGTCTGGGTGGAATTCCCTATGGATGCAACATACACAAAATCCTGATTCAATTTATTCAATTTTCAATGGTTCCAATTAGCGACTAATGGAAATAAAAGGCAATTTGCAGCCAGGCACCAGTGGCTCATGCCTGCCATCCTATCTATCTGAAGGCTGAGATCTGAAGATTGAGATTCACAGGAAATTCTGGGCAGGAAATTCTGTAGGACTTTTATCTCTAATTAACCACTAAAAAGCCAGAAGGAGAGCTGTGGCTCAAGTAACAGGGTGCTAGCCTTGAGTAAAAAAGAAGAAGAAAAAAAAAAAGCTCAGGTACAGCACTATGCCCCAGAACTGGGGGAAAAAATGGAAAAAAAACAAAAAACATAAAAACTCCACATGGAGCCAGCATACACCAGGCTGGTGGGGGGCCCAGACAGCACTGATGTCCCCCATGAAGTCCAGATTAATATGTATGAGTCACTTGGGTCGCAGGGAGACCCTCTGCAGGACCCTGCCTCTGCCTCCTCCTCACTCAGATCCAGCTACACCTGTATGGCAGAGGCACAGAAGGTTCTAGGGCACCCTTCACCCATGCAACAGAGCCACACTAGGGAGGCTGGACAAACCTGTTTCCGCTCCAGTCAAACTCTGCCCCTCACCCTTGATCACCACCTCTTCTGACCTGCTGGGACGCTGTCCACCACATCCTCCAACTCTCCCTTAGGCTTCCCAGAGAATGGCCCATGTATATACCGTGCATATGACTGCAGGGCCAACCACACAATTTATGGGACCAGCGCTTGGACCCCTTGATGACTTCAAAGGTAGCAACAAAACTTACAACTCACCAAGTACAGGGGCCTTCTGGGCATAACCTTCTGCATAAGCACGCAGGAGGCACCCCTGCCTGGCTGCTTGGCACCTAGGCCTCACTCTCCATCACTGGCTATGCCACAGCAGCCTGCATGAAGTAAATTGAATTTCTTACCACCTGGTTGGAGCTAAAGAGTGCTTGAATGAGAAATGCAAATGTATGCAAAACAGTTTTGACTGTGAGTCCCTTAGCAGCAGCTGACCCCTCCCCTCTTGCCCATTCTTCCCAGCTTGCTGCCACTTCCTATGTGGACTCTGGGTATTTAAGTGCCCAGTGACTTGTCTTCCTGGGCTACTTAGCAACGAGTGTCAGAGATGAGCATGAGCTCCCAGGAGTAAAAAGTGCTAGGCCTAAGCTGGGCACCAGTGGCTCACACCTCTACTCCTAAGAGGTTGAGATCTAGGGATCATGATTCTAAGCCAGCTGGGGTAGGACAGTCTATGAGGCTAGGCTCTCATTTCCAAGCTGGAAGCGGAGCTGTGGCTTAAGTGGTAGGGCATTTGTCTTAAGTAGAAAAGCTAAGGAACAGCACCCATGTCCTTAGTTGAAGCCCCAGTACCGGCACAAACAAATAAAAATAAGTGCTCAGCCTTTTTTCCTATCTCAGTCAAAAGGCACATTGGACTTGGCTCCTTATCAGTGTTTGCTTGTTGCTTGCTGGTTAATGGTGCTCTACCACTTAAGTCACAGTTCCATGTCTGGCTTTTTAAGTGGAGATAAGAGTCTTGAGGAATGTGTCTGCCCAGGCTTCAAGCCTGAATTTTCAGATCTCCACCTCCTGAGTAGCTAGGATTATAGGTGTAAGCTACTAGAGCCAGGCTGTCTATCATTTTGCAAGTATTGACATTACATTGACTTATCAGGGATCACATGTGACTGCCAATTCAGATAGGCTTCTAAGATCTTGCCATTACATGGGACTGAGGGCATCACTAGGTCTGGGAAACTGTGGGAAACTCAGTGATGCCATTAGATGCTACATTCAAAGGGGCAAAGCCCACAGCTAAAAGGTGCAGTGTGCTAGCACCTCTCCTGTTCCAAGGCCAAGCTAATACAATGACCTCCAATATCCCTTCAAAGCTCAGTGGCTCTTCCCCAAATCCTTGACGCTGGGCAACCTTAAGCAAGGACAGGCAATTTCAAAGGAAAAAGGACTGATGCAGGAAAAGCCCAAAAGCAAGGAAGCGACCATTTCTCCAAGGCCTCAGGTCCCATCTACTCATCCCAGGCTGTTCTGCCAGCTTCTTGAACCTGTATACCCTGTGTCTGTGTGTGCAGACTTGCGCAATACACATAGCTCACATGACCACCTCCACAACCAATGCAAAGCCACGCCTCTTCCTGACTTCCTCTGACAAAACTCCCTTTCGAAAACTGGACCAGACCTGGGAAAGTACAGCACTCCCTCCCCACACAGGCCTTGCCCCCAGACCCCCTCCTGTCCCACCTGTCAGAGCACCCAGGGCTCTGCTCCTAAGAGCTATGAGGGCTTTAGAATCACAGCCCCACTCTCAACCTGACACCCTAGTCTATGGAGAGGGGAATGTAAGACCCCAGTTTCTTGAAATTGGAGCTAATAGGAAAGGGGGAATAAGAGCTTGTCGATGCCAATAAGAAAAACAAAATTACCTAAAAAGAAATAAACTGTTTTACTCATACACACAAATACACACACTGGGCCCACCTTGGGAGCTGGTAAAACAATTCCAATCTTAGGTTTGTCTGTTTTCCCAGTCCTTGGGACTTGGGTTTCCTAGGATCCCACCCACCCCCCAAGCCTGCAGCCCTCCTGCAGACCTCCGCCAGGGAGGTCCCAGAAGCTGTCCTACTTAAAACAACAGAGGAAGCAAGGCTTCAGGAAAGTCTATCCCCAGCCTGGAGCAGTAGTAGGTGTCCAAAAACCTTTGCCCTCAGCTGGACCACTGGCACAAGTTCCTCCCTCCCTGCCTCCCGTCCTGCTTTGGAGGCTGAAGGAGGCTACAGATTCTCCAGATGAACTCAAGCGTCTTGGGGATGAACTTCACAGACAGGGTTCTGGGGGAGGAGGAGAAGAGTCCACAACAGAGTGCAGTCAGTGGTCCTGTCTCCAGTCTGCATGTGTGCGTTGGGGCTGACCCCGTAGGTGGTCACGTTGGGGTAACTGGAGACCGGCTCCTGCCTCTACACTCCAGTCTGCTCTTTGATCCAGTCTCGAAATAAAGGGAGCCTTGTGTACACGCCTGGTTTATTCTTTTGGGCACAGCCTTCGCCCCAGCTGACCACGCCTGCCTGGAAGATTCGGTTATCTGCCTCCACGCTGGACAAGGGACCACCAGAGTCACCCTGAGCAGAAACAAGACCTGTAAGTAAAGCCACGGGCCGCCCCCCGCCCCCAGCCTAGCCCCGCCGCACCCAGGGCCCGCCCATCGGCTTCCCACACACCTGGCAGGCGTCCACACCCCCGCTGAGGAAGCCCACACACATCATCCGTGGGGTGATGAGTTGTGGCATCAGGTCCTCACAGGTCGTCTGGTTAATGACGCGGATCTCACCTTTCTGCAGGACCAGCGCCCCTGTGCCTGGGGGAGAGGGCAGGATAGGGCTGACTCCACACACTGAGGAGCCAGGCTGCAAAAAAACTCACGGAAGACACTCCCTGCAAGGAGTTAGCTTGCCAGCCAGACTTGGAAACAACCCAAATGCCTATGGATGACAGGAAAATGTCACCTGCAGATAAATATGACCTGAGCCGGGTGCCAGTGACTCACGCCTGTAATCCTAGCTACTCAGGAGGCTGAGATCTGAGGATCGCAGTTCAAAGCCAGCCCGGGCAGGAGAGACCGTGAGACTCCTATCTCCAATAAACCACCAGAAAACCGGAAGTGGCACCGTAGCTCAAGTGGTAGAGTGCTTGCCTTGAGCTGAAGAGCTGAGGGACAGCGCCCAGGTCCAGAGTTCAAGCCCCACGGCCGACCAAAAAAAAAAACATGACCTGCAGCTGCAGCCATAGGTAACACAGCTAAATGGCACAGGGGTTTTTATCAGGTCATGGCATCTGTAAATCAGCCTTTTACTATTCCCTCCTATGTGTTACAATCTTTCACCAGAGGGTAATATTATGATCTCAGTGGAGTCTTTTCAACCTAACCTTTAGCAGCTAACAGCCTGCTTCCCACAAGTGGGGAGAGAAAGGACAGGTGGCTCATTCCTATGTGGGATCAGGTCACAGACACAGCTTAGTGGCCTTTTCAAATCACAGACATGCTCACCTTCCTTGAATACTACTTCTGCCTTTGGCAGGTAAAGAACCAGGAATATGCCTGGCATTGGTGTGCAAGCCTGTAATCCTAGTTACTGAGGAGGCTGAAATCTGAGGAACAGGGTTTGAAGCTAGCTGGGACAGAAAAGTCTTTTGAGACTCTTATCTCCAATTAACCAGCAAAAACCAGAAGTAAAGGAGTAGTTCAAGTGGTAAAGTGACAGCCTTTATCAGGAAAAAAAAAGAAAAGCTAAAGGACAATGTCCAGACCCTGAGTTCTAGCCCTAGTACGCATATGTGCACACCACACACACACACACACACACACACACACACAGATAATTCATCTAGAGCCTAGTCTACAAATCCATCAGAAACCTCCTTTCCACCCTGAACAGCCTCATGCTGCCAAGCAGAGGGAGAGCAGAACAACCTAGTAAGGCTGTACAGATGGGGAGGGTATCTTGCAAATATAAAGCACCAGAGGAAGGCCCAGGGCTCGGCAGGTCCTTCAGCCCAGCCTGAAGCTCACCTCCCTCCTGGGTGTGCCCCCAGCCTGTGACCCAGATGGCCTTGCCAGCCGGAAAAACATGGGAGGTGTCGGGCAGGCAGATGGGCCGCACCACAGTGCTGAACTTGGCCGGCTTCTCCAGCTCCAGCAGCGCAATGTCGTAGTCAAAGGTGAAGTCGTTGAAGGACGGGTGGGTGATGATGCGCTTAAGCCGGTGCTCCTGCACCCCAGAGGCACTGCGATTACTCTGGTCCAGGAGGCCCAAGTAGACCACCCACATGGCAGGGTCTGAGTACCTGGGAGGGGACAGAGGAGCAAGACTAGTCATGAGAGTGTCTGAGGGCCTATGATGGGCACAGGCAGGACCTTTCAAGTGTCTATGAGGATTCAAAGGCTGCTCATGTTACACCAAGTCTCCAACAGTTGCTGAGAAACAAGTGACAAAAGAGAATGAGGCTGGGAAGGTGCCTTAGTGGTAGAGTGCTTGCCTAGCATGCATGAAGCCCTGGGTTTGATTCCTCAGTTACCACATACACAGAAAAAGCCAGAAATGGTGCTGTGGCTCAAGGAGTAGAGTGCTAGCCTTGAGCAAAAGAAGCTCAGGGACAGTGCTCAGGCCCTGAGTTCAAGCTCCAGGACTAGCAGAGAGAGAGAGAGAGAGAGAGAGAGCGAGAATGATCCTAAATTGCAACAGCAGTAGCCCTTCAAGACCTTATTCCTCCTCTTTTAACGCATTTGTCAGAAAGTATGTGTCTTATGGGCCTGAATTTTCATCAGACTTATACAAACCCCAACCCAGTTTTTAAACACAGACCAAAATGAATTTAAACTGTGTGTGTGTGTGTGTGTGTTAGTACTGGGGCTTGAACTTAAGGCTTTACAGTATTGTTTAGTTTTTCACTCAAGGCTGTCGGTCTATCACTTGAGCCACACCTCCACTTCTAGCTTTTTGCTAGTCAACTGAAGTTAAGAGTCTCTCAGATTTATCTGCTAGGGCTGCCTTCAAACAGAGATCCTCAGATCTTAGCCTCTGAGGAGCTAGGATTATAGGCATGAGCCACCATTGCCTGGCAAAACCAGCTTTGTAAACTCTGGATTTTGCAAATTTGGGACTTGAGATCTCATGGGCTTTTCTGCTCTGGCTGGCTTTGAACCACAATCCTTGCGAGTTCAGCCTTAGCTACTCAAGAAGCATAAGTTGGATTGAGGTCGAGGCCAGTCTGGGAGCTGGTGGCTCACACCTATAATCCTAGCTACTCAGGAAGCTGAGAGCCAAAGGATCACAGTTAAAGGCAGCCCAGGCAGAAAAGTTCAAGAGATCTGTCTCCAAAGTAACTAGCAAATAGCCAGGCTGGAGGCATGGCTCAGTGGTAGGGTACCTGATTAGCAAGTATGAGGCACTAAGATCAAATCCCAATATGAGAAGAAAGAGGGAAAGGGAAGGGAGAGCAAGAGGAGGAGAGGAAGAAAAGAGACAGTGAGACAGACAGACAGAGACAGACAGATACACACACACACACACACACACACACACACACAGGAGGGGAGGTAGGAAGGAGGAAAAACAGAGAGAGAGAGAGCTGCAGTTCATGAGCCCAGAGATGCTTGGGATAGCTCAGTTCCCTCCACCACTTGTGTCTCCACCAACCCTGCCACACACACCTGTCTAACCTGCCCAACACCAGTGCCTTTGCCTGCTTCTTGCTGGGCCTTCATGTTCCTCTCTGCAGGAAGGTGATAGAGGCAGCTTGGGTTACCTATTCCCAAGCTGACTGCTGAAGAAATACAGGCAGATGGCAGGAAGGTCTAACATTGCTTCAGACTACGGGATTCTCCTCGAAGGCCTTCAAGCTGTCTCTGTAGACTCATTCCTGTGGCCAATGGCTAGAGAGCCTGGGAGGCCAGAAGCTACGAAATAAATAGCCCTGGCCCCACATCTAGCCACTGATCCTGATTGTGCCTGTCCAGTCCTGGGACACCAACAGGACCCTTCCAATGTGTCACACACAAGGATAAGTGCCTTAAGTTCATTTCCACATTTAGTTCTTGCAGCTCCAAGGATAAAAATAGTATCCTATCACCAGTGAAAACCCAGTGCTTAAAAAGTCTGAATAACTTGGCCAGGCACCAATGGCTCACGTCTGTAATCCTGCCTACTCAGGAGGCTAAAATCTGAGGATCAAAGTTCAAAGCCAGCCGGGGCAGGAAACTCTGTGAGACCCCTATGTTCAAATAACCACCAGAAAACCAGAAGTGGCAGGATGGCTCAAAGTGGTAGAGCGCTAGCATTGAGCACAAAAACTCAGAAACAGTGCCCAGGCCCTGAGTTCAAGACCCGGGACCAACAACAACAACAAAAGTCTGAATAACTTGTCCGAGGTTCCCTGCAAGCCACAGCTGGAACCAAAGTCAAGGCTCATCTTTCATCAATCCCAAGGAGCCAAGCCACACAGACAAATCAAACAAGCCTTGCCACCCAGACAACTGGGCTCAAGTCTGCCAGCCCTGAGCAAATGTCTTTACCTCTCTGAGTGTCCGTTTCTGTCAAGTGGGCATATAAACAGACCTGCCTAACCAGTTAGGGTGGCACACAAATGGTGCTTGACCAGGAGTGAGCGTCCAATAAAAGTGAGTTTTTATTCCACTACTGTTATTAAGTTCGGTCAGAGTACCTGCCCACCCCCACCCCCTGCCTTGCCCCACCCTGGTGTGAGTCATGGACATCCATATCCAGAGACTTACTTGAACATTTTCTCATCTGTAAAGCAGTGAGCTGCAGACACCAACCAGCTGGAGCTGATGAGCGAAGCCCCGCACAGGTGGCCCTGGCCCAGGGCATGGAGGCTTACCTGCCAGGGCCACTCACCCGCATCTGCATCAGTGCCACCAACAACTCGAGCCTGCTTGGTGAATGACCGCAAGCCACAGTCTGCAGAGGGCAGGAAACACCAAAGGACAGTGAGTCGAATGGCACCCAGGAATCAGCTGCAGTGAGACCCCACAGCAAGGAGCCAACAACATGGGGAGCCCCTTTTGATGTACACAGCAATGCTAGATCAAGTAGTATGAGGGACCTTCTACAAGTACCTGTTTTGTTTTTGTTTTTTTCTCCATTTGGTGGTATTAAGGTATTAGGGTCACGTGCTTGCTAGGCAGTAACTCTATCAACGTCAGCCAGGCCTCCAAGCTTTTTTGCTTTAGTTATTTTTTTAATAGGGTCTCAACTTTTTGCCCAGGCCAGCCTGGATGAGATCCTCCTATTTATGCGTCCCTCAGAGCTAGGACACAGATATAGATGTGCATGACCAACCTTATTGGTTGAGATGGGGGTTGGGAAGTTTTACTGACTTTTTGCCTGGGCTGTTCTCACGAGCCTCCCAAGTCAACTAGGCTGACAAGGCCGAGCCATCATGTCTAACCCTAAAGCGTCTTCAAGCTTCACAAACCTCCTGACTTGTCCCTTTCCCCTGCCTCCATGTTCAACTCCTGACCCCACCCCAGGCTATGCAAATATACGGAAGGGCTCCAGACACCTATATTGGGCTGCTCAGACTTGACTTGGGTGTCATTTGCCTAGATTTCCTTGTTCAATGCTGAGGGTCATGGCTCTCAGAGGGAAGAGTGGATGGGGGACATGAAGGCACTGAATGGTGGCATTCTACTCAGTGCTTCTGAACCACGTGGCCACTGAAGAGTATAAGTAGACAAAGGTAAAATGCCTCCTGTGCTTAGGCAAACTGGAACCCTCTCCTCCAGGCCACTCACACACAGCTGGGTCTACAGAGCAGGCCCCAGGCCAGCACTCTGGCCAGTAACCCAGCCATCCACAGGGAGCGGCTATGCTGATGACTGGGCCTCTCCAGGATGGTGGCTACCATGGAGCAGCATCTCCATGCAAACTTGCAGTCATCCTTCCTTCCAGCCAGATGTCCCTCGCATGGGCTCCCTGCCACATGAGTAAGGTGCTATGGAGATTTCTACCTTGACTCTGGATGCACCCTTTCCAGTGAGCACCCACCCAAGTTATAAACAGCCCCCACCCCCACCCCCAACTCACCACAGTGCTGCTCATCTGAGCCGTCACTACAATCCTTCTTCCCATCACATTCAGGGTTGCCTTTGCTCAAGCAGAGTCCATTTTGGCAACGATAGGTGTATTTGGTACAAGGGACCACATTCACTGTTCAAGGAGAACACAGGAAGAAATGAATTCCTTGGAAGTACCCAGCTAGAAGCTAGTGTCTGTGTCACAACACCTTAGAACCTTTATAATAACAATTAAAAAAAAAGTATATCCCCGATGGCATACTACGATCCACCCACCTTGCCCAGGCTTGCTCCACCCACTATACCCATGCCCACTGTTCTCCACCTTCTAGAAGATTCTCCCACTCTTCCTCACACTTTTATAGAAGGTCCATATATATAAACTTGACAGGCTTTGTGTGAGTCAGCTGCTGGCTGTCTCCTCAGGGTGCAAGTCCAACTAAAGGGAAATCTCTGAAGGGAAGTCTCCACAGGCAGGTTCAGGCCTCACCGTTGTCACACGAGATCTCATCCGACCCGTCCCCACAGTTGTCCATCCCGTTGCACTTCTGGCTCTGCAAGATGCACTTCCCATTGGAACACTTGAAGGACCCATCTGGACAACCTAAAGAAGCCAAGTCCTTAGCAATGCCAGCCACGCAGGTTGGCGGGGGAGCCCCAGCTACAACCACCCTGGGCACTCACTGCACTTCAGCTCATCGCTGTTGTCCCCGCAGTCATTCACATTGTCACAGACCCAGTAGAGGGGCTTGCACATCTTGTTGGCGCATGTGAACTGGTAGGTGGCGTTGCATTCTGCAGTAGAGGAGAGGAGAAATCAGTCCCCTCTATGGAGGCCTAATCATTGGCTGCTTCCGGAGTGCAGGTGCAGGGGCGGGTACTCAGAGCTATCAGGAAGCTTGCCCATCTGATGAACAGCCTGGAGTAAAATTCCTAATGGCAGAGAGAGGGAAAGGGACCCGCTCTTCATAGAGTGAGGGAGGAGGGTGGAAGGTGGGAACTTTCACCCATTTGTGATTTTACATCACAAGGGTCAGCTGACCAGGATATGGGACCCAGCAAGGGCAGGAAGAGGCAGAGCCATGGAGTAGGGGAGGTGGGAGGAGGTGAGGTCAGAAGGCAGGAGGGGGCAAGGTTATGAACAGAGATGAAGACATGAGAGGGCAGTGAAGACAGGAGGGGTAGTAGGGTGGTAGAGGAGGCTCAAGGGCCAGTTGGGGCAGAGCAATGGAAGAGGGCAGGCACTGGGGCCTGGATGAGTCAGAGGGGTGGGACCCTGGTGGGATGGACTGTGGACAGAGGGCCAGGACAGGCGTTGGCCAGCAGCACTCACGGCAGTTCCGCTCATCACTGTGGTCAGCACAATCCACCCAACCATCACAGCGCAGCTCCTTGCGGATGCACCGTCCAGTGTTGCACATGAACATATTTGGGCACGCTGCAGGGTACAGGACAGGCCTGAAATCCATGGCTCCTACCCACCTGGCCCCCCGCCCCCCCAACCACTGCTGACTACAGCCTAGGAACTCCAGCGGCAGGAACAGAGGCTGGCTGCCTTCCCAGTCCCTCCACTGCCTGTATTCCCCAGCCTGAGTGCCAGGCTAATGGCTTGTGAACACATGATGAACATGTCCTAGCCAAGTGAATGCCACGTCAGGCATGCTTCATGTGTTCCACTTTCCAATGAAACTGGGAGGCCGGGTGCCCTTGGTACATGCTTGTAATCCTACTCAGGAGGCTGAGATATAAGGATGATGGTTCAGAGCCAGCTCAGGCAGAGAAGTCTGTGAGACTCTGATCTCCAATTAACCACAAAAACGTCACAAGTGGAGGTGTGGCTCTAGTAGTAGAGTGCCAATCTTGAACAAAAAGGCTAAGAAAAGCTGGGCACTGGTGGCTCACGCCTGTAATCCTAGCTACTCAGGAGGCTGAGATCTGAGGATCACGGCTCAAAGCCAGCCCAGGCAGGAGAGACCGTGAGACTCCTATCTCCAATAACCACCAGAAAACCAGAAGTGGCGCTGTAGCTCAAGTGGTAGAGGGCTAGCCTTGAGCTGAAGAGCTGAGCGACAGCGCCCAGGCCCAGAGTTCAAGCCCCACAACTGACCAAAAAAAAAAAAAAGGCTAAGAAATAGCACCCAGGCCCTGGGGTGCACCTCAGTACCAAGCAACAAAAAATAAGATATCTCATTGTACATATGCAAATATTCCAAGATCTAAAATTACCCTCAATCTAACATACTTCTGTTCCCAAGCCTTTCAGACAAGGGAGACACCTGTACACTCTGTATTTTCTAAAATATATGGTTTCAAAATTATGCTGTGCTACCAGCCCCAAAGTCGCAGAGATGCTGATGGCCTTAGGAACTGAAGGGGGAAGAGTCCTCAGGCTCCAGGCCTCCCTCCCCCCAACTCCCACCACACACACACACACACACACACACACACACACACACACACACACACTGGGATGCAACCCTGAACAATTTGTTTTGTTTTTTAATTCTCATACTGATATTTGAACCCAGAGTTTCATGCTTGCTCAGCTGGTGCTCTACCACTTGAGCAAGCCTCCAGTCTAGCTTTGAGCTAATTTATTTTGGAGGTAGATACTCATGGATTTTTCTGCCTGGGCTGGCTTTGGACCATAATGCTCAGATCATTGATTCCTAAGTAGTCAAGATTATAGGCAGAGCCACCAGCACCCAGTTTTGTCAGCCTTCTTAACAAAGGCATCTTTAGTGTAACTTTTTCCTCAAAAGTCTGCAAGAAGGATAAGAGGAATGCATCTCCAGGGGTCTAGTTCAGGCAGCAGTGCTGGTAAGACAGAGTGCATTGTGGGCCAGACCCTCTTAACAGTATTTACTCACGGTTACGGGAATCATAGGACAGGTACTCAGCTAGGAACCCTGTGTCAGTGTAGGAGTGATCTGAATGAAAGCGAACTGTCATCTTGTTGCTGTTGCTGCTGACAACAAATGGAGACCTCTCTCCACAAAACCTGGAGGAGAAACACTAGGTGAGGAAGAGACAGCCAGGAACCATGGCACTGGAGGTCCAGGAGGCCCTAGCCTTCCCCAGCACCACACTTCTCCCCAACCCCTCACAGCTCACTTCTCTCCATTGATCTCCACGTAATCCTTAGAGCAGGTGCCTGGCTGCATGTCATGATCGAGCAGGTAAAAGAGTTTGAAGCGCACCTTCACATTCTGGTTGTTGGGCACCTACACAGAGAAATGTTTAGTTAAAGTCTGGCTCCTTCCATTCTTTCTTAAGCACAATGGTATCATACAATAGGGGGTATTGAGAGGGTGGAGCAGAAACACCGGGTACTGGTAGCAGGCTAACTGGAGATATGAGTCTCTTGAATTTTTCTGTCAAGCGTGGCTTTGAACTGTGATCTTCAGATCTCAATTGCCTGAGAAGCAAGGATTACACTCCCAGTGGATGCATGATAACTCAGTATGGAATCCTACGTATATGTATTTTTTTTCTATGAAAGGGTGGGGGGTTGCATTTTTAATTAATTTTAGCTGATACATAAAAACAAAAATTATATATATTAACAGGGTATCATGAAATACTGAATATATATATTGCATAATATTTCAAATGTATCTCCTTTCTTCGAACCACCATACTTAGATATCAGCCTCCTGAGTAACTAGGATTACAGGCAGGAATCAGTGGAGTCTAGTAAACAATTTATTTTTCCTTCTTCAAAATTTCATAGAAAGAAGGTTCATTCTCACCACAGGTCATGTATGATGTTTTACTTCCCTCATTAAACCAAAAACAATTGCCTTTTTACCCAAAAGAGGTACTTGACAGCTTCTCTGCTGTTTATGCAAATAGCCAGCAGCACTGCTCCGACATCTTGGGGTCATTACTCAGCAAATAAACTGTTCCTTAAACCCAGCGTCGTGATACCACATGATCAATGGAATAACCCTGGGAGTATAACACGTACAGTGTGGATACGCAGGGCCTGTTACAGCCTAACGTGTTACAGTATAACACATACAGCCTGGATACGCAGGGTGGAGCAGGATGGCATAAGATTTCATCCTGTGACTTAGAACTGTGACCAATGGCCATGGGTAACCAAAACCAGGAAACATGAAACCCTGAAAGGGAGGGGAGGGTATGATTCTGTATTCTATTACACAAGAAGCCTGGGCGCTGTCCCTCAGCTCTTCAGCTCAAGGCTAGCGCTCTACCACTTGAGCCACAGCGCCACTCGGCTTTTTTCTTTTTGCTTATGTGGTGCTGAGGAATTGAACCCAGGGCCACAGGCATGCAAGGCAAGCGCTCTACCACTGAGCCACCTTCCCAGCCCATAGCTAGGATTTTTTTTTTTTTTGGGTCCGGTCGTGGGGCCTGAACTCTGGGCCTGGGCGCTGTCCCTCAGCTCTTCAGCTCAAGGCTATTGCTCTACCACTTGAGCCACAGCGCCACTTCCGGCTTTTTTCTTTTTTTGCTTATGTGGTGCTAAGGAATCGAACCCAGGGCCTCATGCATGCAAGGCAAGTGCTCTACCATTGAGCCACCTTCCCAGCCCTTTTTTTGTTGTTGTTGGTCGTGGGGCTTGAACTCTGGGCCTGGGTGCTGTCCCTCAGCTCTTCAGCTCAAGGTGAGCACTCTGCCACTTGAGCCACAGCACCATTTCCAGGTTTCTGAGTGGTTTATTGAAGATAAGAGTCCCATGGACTTGCCCGCCCAGGCTGGCTTTGAACCACGATCCTCAGATCTCAGCCTCCTGAGTAGCTAGGATTATAGGCATGAACCACTAGTGCCTGGCTTCTTTTTTGAGTGCTAAGTACTGGAGCTTGAAATCAGATTCTCAAGTGCTTATCTGGCTTTTTTACTCTCAAAGCTGACACTCTACCACTTGAGCCAGAGCTCTACTTCTGGCTTTTTGGTGGCTAACTGGAGATAAAAAGTCCCATGTACTTTCTTGCGTGGACTTGCTTTGAATCTCGATCTAAGATCTCAGCTTCTTGAATAACTAGGATTATAAGCATGAGCCATTGATGCCAGACTCCCTTGACATTTTTAAAGAAAGAAAAAGAACAGGCCTCAGATTGGGATGGTATAAGGGACACCATGTTACCGTCATGATGCTTTTGTCCCATTCTAGCCAACAGGGGCTTTCAGGTGTGTATATGTTTTCTGAAGTCTCCTGAGCATACCTCTGAGCTTACTACACACAAACTCTCCTTCACACAGAGAGGTTAAGCACAGGCACTACGTTCCTCAGTCAGTCAGCAATGAGGACCTAGGACCTGAATCACAGTGTGCCTGCTACTGTGCTACAAGATCCTAACCCAGTAGGGATCTCACATACATGGCTCTTCCAGTTGCCAAAGACTCTTCCTATTTCCTCTTCTGTCCTTCCTTGGGAGGCCGACCTGGGGCATCCGATTCTCCTCTCCCTCCGCCCTCCCCACACACACACCCCACAATGCCTACCTCAATGTTCCACGTGCAGTCAATGTTGGGTGGGTAGTGGCCTGGGTAATAGGGGCTGCTAAATGTTCCTTGGGCTTCACGCAAGTTGCCTCCACAGCCTGAGTGAAAAGCAGGACACAGAATGAGGATCAAGGTCTTTGTTGAACCACAGGGCTCTTAAATGTACCCTAGGGACAGTGGCCCAAGACCTGGAGCTACCTGCTTGGACATCCATCATTTCCAGCAAGGTGACTGGAAACTGGCTACTTTAAGAATAGTTCGTTGTTTTTTTGTGTGCTCTTTTTTTTTTTTTTGGCGGGGGTGGGGGGGGGTCAGTCCTGGGGGTTGAACTCAGGGCCTGGGTCCTATACCTGAGCTTTTGTGTTCAAGGCTAGTTTACTACCACTTGAGCCACAATTCTACTTCTGACTTTTTTGGTGGTTAACTGAATATGAGTCTCATGGATTTTCCTGACTGGGCTGGCTGGCTTTGAACCATATCTCAACCAGATTCTCAGATCCTTGGATCTCAGATCCTCAGTTCTCAGCCTCCTGAGTAGCTAGAGTTACAGTCATGAGCCACCAGTCCCCAGCTCAAGAGTAGCTCAAGTAGTAGTTCAGGTGAATGCCCTCTGGCTCCACCTTTAAATTTCTGTCACCAACCAGTGTCAGTTCACCAGCCTCTGGGCCTATGGCCTTCCCCAGGTCACCCTCTGAGGTCCTCCTACCCCACCCCTGCCCTTCCTTACTGGTCATCTTGGGCAGCTGGAAGAAGGTAGCCTCAAAGCCAGGATGTCGCCGCTCTGTGTTGGTTATGAGTGTGACGAGGAAGACATTCTGGGAGGAGAGGAAGGTCAGGTTGTAGGAGGGAGGGTACGTGCCACACAGCCTGTGGAGGAAAGGGGACAGAGTTAATGAGAGAGACGAAAGTCAGACTTCACACACCTGACTCCCCACGCAGACAGAGACCAAGTACTCCATTCCTAAGCCTGATACTGTACATAAAATTGTGGGTTAGAAAGACTCTCCCCCTGGCAACCCAGGAGGCTGAGATCAAAGGAAGAAGCCAGAAGGGCAGGAATGTTCAAGAGACTCTTATCTCTGATTGCCCACCAAAAAAGTAGAAGTAGAGGTGTGGGTCCAGTGGTAGAGCTCCAGCTTTGAGTGAAAAAAGCTAAGGGGGATGGGAAAGGGGAAACAAAGGAGGAGGCAACAATGCTTGACAAGAAATGCACTCGTTATCTTGCCCATGTAATTGTAACCCCTCTCTACGGTATTTTCACACAAAAAAAAAAAACCAAAAAAACAAAAAACAACTAAGGGACAGCACCTCGGTCCAGATACAACCATTCATCTTTTGTTTAAAATAGCAAATTGCCTAACAGATAATTCATTAAGCAAGTTGTGGGTTAAAGAATATTAGTAATAATAACAATTAATACTTATTAAGAACATGCCAAAAAAAAAAAAAGCCTGCTGTGGTGGTCCACACTTAGGATCCTCGCACTCAGGTGGAAGCAGACAGATCGTGAGTTCAAGGTCAGCCTGGATACATAAGAGATCTTGTTTCAAAAAAATGCCAACTATATATGAATGTAGCATAAAGAATCTCAGTGAAAGCTGTTGATATATAGGAATGGGATGTGGGGAAAGAGAAACAGGCTCTGTTAAGGAGATGGATACCAGCAGAAGGGGGTTGGATTAATGGGAAGGGTTAATGAGGACAAATTGGGTTGAAATAGTTTGTTTGCTTCCATGAAAAATAGAACAATGAGACCAGTTGAGGTTGTTGTTGTAAAGAGGGAAAGGGTAAGGGAAAGTGATGGGGGGGAGGGTGAAATTGATTGAAATACACTGTATAAACATATGAAAATGTCACACTGACATGACTGCTGTACAACTAACATATGCTAACAAAAAAAATAAAAATAATGTTGTAAAATTCATACTCTGTACACTTACTTTTGTGCACTTTTTATATATTATTCTTTTAACTTTTTAATTTTGTTTTTTTGTGCCAATACTAGAGATCAAACTCAGGGCCTGGGTGCTGTCCCTTAGCCTTGTCACTCAAGGCTGATTCTCTACTACTTGAGCCACAGATCTACTTCTGGCTTTTGGTTGGTTAACTGGAGAGTTTGTTTGTTTGTTTGTTTTCGTCAGTCACAGGGCATGAACTCAGAGCCTGGATGCTATCCCTGAGTGCTTTTTTTTGCTCAAGATGAACTCTACCACTTTGAGCCTTAGCTCCACTCCTGGTTTTCTGGTGGTTAACTGGAGATAAAAGTCTCATGGACTTTCCTGCCCAGGCTGGCTTTGAACCGCAATCCTCAGATCTCAGCCTCCTGAAAAGCTAGGATTAAAAGGTTTAAATTTCTATTTTAATTATATTAACTATACCCAATTATATTCACTCTGAAATAAAATAAAGAACATGTCAGACCAGATATGGGGACCCAGGTGGAGGCAGGCCAGGACAAAGTTATGAAACTATATATTTAAAACAACCAAAGCAAAACTAAGCTAGGAGTATAGCTCAAATGGTAGGAGCGCCTGCCTAGTAAGTACAAAGAACCTGAGTTCAAAGCCGCAGTACCACAAATTTAAAAAAAAAAAAAAAGCATAGTTCATTCCTTTCCCTCTACCTTCCTTCTTTGTCTTCCTTTATTTCTTTTTTTAATTTTGTCTTTTGGGGCTTGAATTTTTGAGTCAGGGTCTCACTATACAGCCCAGGCTGGTCTCAAACTCTCTATGTAACCCATGCTGGCCTGGAACTGTCAAATCTCCTCCCTCAGCCCTCAAGTGCTAAGATTACAGGTACATACTGCCACCACATTCAGCCCAGGTTTGCTTTTATATCTATTAAGAATCTTCATAACAACTTGACAAAGCACATTCAATTATCTCTATTGCATGGATCAGGAAATCAAGATACAAGTTCAGTACCTTGCCCAAGAATACATAGTTAAACTTTGGAACAGAAACCCAGACACTCAGGCTCCAGAGCCCACACTGCTAATGATCTTGTCATCTGCCTCTAAGCAATGCAGCAATAGGCAATCATTACAAACAAGACTGAGAGTAGGGCTGACTGATTTGGAAGGAGGTAGTAACAAAACTGAATCTTATTCCTGAAGAGACACACATAAATATATAACAAACGTATGGGAGGGCTGAGAATGTGGTTTAGTGGTAGAGTACTTGCCTAGCATGCATGAAGCTCCTGACTTCAATTCCTCAGTTCCACATACACAGAAAAAGCCAGAAGTAGCTCTGTGACTCAAGTGGTAGAGTACTAGCCTTGAGCAAAAGAAGCTCAAGGACAGTGCCCAGGCCCTGAGTTCAAGCCCCAGGACTGGCAATATATATATATATATATATATATATATATATATATATATATATATATATGTATGAAAAAATACACATCAAAAAAAAAAACTCAGATTGGAAGAGGTGCTGTTGCTCAAAGTGGTAGAGCACTAGCCCTGAGTGAGAGCTCAGGAACAGCACCCAAGACCTGAGTTCAAACCCCACAACTACTAAAAGAAAAAAAAATCTCATATTGCCAAGCACTGGTGGTTCATGCCTGTAATCACTGCAACTCAGAAGACTGAGATCTGAGGGTCGTTGGGTTAAAAGCCAGCCCAGGCAGACAAACTGAAGACTCTTATCTCCAATTAAACAGGAAAAAGCCAAAAGTGGAAGTGTAGGTCAGTGCTAAAGAGCCAGCCTTGAGCAAAAAACGTTACACACACACACACACACACACATATACACACCTCATAGAGGTAGTAAGGTCCCTAGTAACTTATTCTTATGCTTTTTCTTTCTACTTTCTTCCCTTTTGGATTATGTATTTCTCTGATGTATAATAATAAAAGAGATAGTCAAGAGGACCTGTTTGCTGAGCCATAGCAGCAAATGACAATTTTAGATTGGTTTGGGCCTGCATTTTAATGCATTATTAATCAAGAAACATCTACCCATTTCCACAGGGAGGGATGAAAGGCTCTGGGCCCAATTAATGAGGGAAAGGCCTGTGCTCCATCCTGCTAGCTGGGGCCTTTATCTTGGAGCCAGTCTCTCCAGGCCCTGGCAGGTGTTATTAATGATGTCTTTTTATTTGCTGTAACTCGGATGCATTAATGCCATGGAGAGACTGCGCTCCCAGGGTCAGCCAATGCCTAGAGACAGTTGAGAGATCATCTGCAAGTGCAAATCAACCAACTAAGGGCCCACACACCTTGTCTGTCAGGCAGGACCCTATAGACAGAACCACTAATCCTTGCCCTAATCACCCCAGGCAGGGGTAGAGAGGTTGAAGGACAGACCTAGGCTCTCAAGCCTGCTAAAATGATTCAAATTGCATCATCCCAACACTGTTCACCATGTTCTACACCACATGAAGTCTTGTGTCTATCATCTTCCTTGCCAAAAGTGGATGATCACTTGGGAGATACTTGCTAGTGCCCATGATAAGAGCACACCACACCTGCCCTCCACTGCATTTCACAGAGAACTGTAGCTACAAATTATAAACTGTATTTCACACCTGTACCACTGTTGTTTCAGGGGGTGGATACTGGCAGGGAGCATCATTGCTGCCCCCAGGATACTCACTGCACCACAGCATGAGGCTCCACGGGGCTCAGGGTGTCATACACCATGACTAGGTCACTGTTCTGTCCAGTACAGGGAGCCACGTCAAAACTGCGGAAGGTGAGGCTCAGCACAGAGTTGGCATCCCCGCGCAGGGCCCACTGGCAGCGGGCATGCGCTGGGTAGGGGCTATCCGGAAAGCCTGGTGTGGCAAAACGGGTCAGCTCCCCACCTCGGGCGTGCAAGGCAAAACTGCAGCTATCTGTTTAGGAGACAAAAAGATGGGCATGGGCTGAGAAGAGCTGGGGACATTAATTTAGGGACTCAGTAGTACTGCATCTCAGGCTTGATTTCCCCTTCAAAGGCATCCCAGGCATGCCACATCCAGGGGGAGACAAGGCTGGGGGCTCTTCTGAGGGAAATGGAGTTAAAGAATGTCTGACTTCTGGGGATCCACCTGGCACAAGGGGCATCTGGCCATATCCCCCCTCTTGACCATCTAGGGTGGAGGCATGATACTTACTGTCCTGGGTCCTCTGTACCGATCTGGGGTCAGAAGCTGAAGAACAAGAAAGAACATTTGCTGATACCATCTAGTTCCTTATGCTGCTTCCTACTTTCCCCGAGGGACAGCCAGCAAGCAGTGCCCTCTCCAGAGCTCCAAGCCTGCAAGTGTCCCCATCACCACCTCGTTCCCCTGCAGGCTGACCACCTAAGCCCACCCCGGCCTTCCCGGACTCACGGAAGGCCACCACCGAGGTCATCACGAAAGAGCTCAGGGCACGTGCTCTGGGAGGCAGAGTGATCACACGCTCCACCGCCATGGCGCGTTCTGCCTCCTCCTCCAGGTGCTGAGGGATGCTAAACTCTGACCAATAGTAGGCAATGACGCTGCCCTCGCTGGGGAGAAGGGGAGTGGGGAGCCTGAGACAAGGAGGCTTCACACATTCACCCACACTTTCTTATACAACTAGGAATGGGTACACACTGAGGCTGTGCCCCAAGCCCCTGGTGGTGTCCACCCATCTGGCAATCCTTTTTGAGATCTTGCCCCTTATCCTTACCACCCCCCAAATGCATCCTGGGACAGCTTCTGTTTAGGACCGAGGTAGAATATTTGGAATTTAGCCACTAACTTGGACACACTGTGTCCCAACAGTCCCCACACAGATCTGATTTCTGATCTGGGAAAGGTGATGACAGTGCCTCCTGCCACCCAGCATTCCTCAGGATTCAACTAAACAAGGAACATAAAAAGGTCTTTGGAGCCGGGTGTGATGGTACACACCTGTAATCCCAGTCACTCTGAATGCTGAGACAAAAGGACAAAAAAAACCTAAGGCCAGGGCTGGGAAGGTGGCTCAGTGGTAGAGTGCTTGCCTCCCATGCATGAGGCCCTGAGTTCGATTCCTCAGCACCACGTAAGCAGAAAGGCCAGAAGTGTCATTGTGGCTCAAGTGGTAGAGTGCTAGCCTTGAGCTGAAGAGCTGTGGGACACACAGCGCTCAGGCCCAGAGTTCAAGCCCCACAACCAGCAAAAAAAAATAAAATAAAACCTAAGGGTTAAATAGCAAAACCCTATCTCAAAGAAAAAAAAAAGTGGGGTTGGGGATGGGTGATAAGGCCAAGCAAGAGCAGTTCAAATGGAGTGGAATGTGCCCCAGTGGTAGACCAGTTGTTCGATCTTTATGGGGTCCTGGGTTCCAATCCCAAACTAAGAAACAAATTAAAGAGGGGGGGAAAAAGTACTTTGGAAAAAAAATATTATGTTTGCATGGAAGTTTCTGAGCACCTCAACTTATTCAAAGCCAAGTGTGGACAAATAATCACTACCCTCCCTGAACACGTCTCATGTGACAGGCATTGTGCAAAAGTCCTCCCGTGCAGACCAATGGAACAAGGGCTCGTCTTTGTCTCACCAAACCAGACTTTCAGCTTCTAACCCCCTGAGTTATGAAGCATTTTGTCCCACACACTACTCCATACTTAGAGGACCCAGACAGGCCAGAGACCACCCCCCTTGAGACCTCCCCCAGCACTCACCTGAAGGCAGTCACAGCAGACTTCTTATGGTAGGGGCCCAGGACAGGGACTTCACTGTATAACAGCTTCAGCTGAGGGGAGGGGACAAGGCTCACGATAGGCAAAGGGCAGCAATGACTGTTTCCCTAAGCCCTGGCTGCACCCTCCCCTCCTGGGATGACCTCCCTCCCCAATTCCCAGACCACCCTTCCCCAGGAGGACCTTGGAGCAAAAATGAGAAGGTTCCTTTCAACTTAGTGGGGCTGAGGGTGCCATGTTGACAGCAGGGCAGGATTCTGCCCTGGGAATGGACTCACCGCTTCTTTCACCTTGTTGGCCAGGCTTATAAACTCGCTAGAGTTTGAGTTCTCATAAGCGTCTATGAAGTTCTCATTTTTGATCCTCAGGTAGCCATTAAATACCTTCTGAACCCGCACGTTCCGATCTGTGCCAGGCCAAGAGAGCAGTTACGGGTAATGGTACCATCTCCACCTGTCCTTCCTGCCTGCAGCTGCCCACAGCGCCAGAGGAGGGAGTGCCCAAAGACCCAGCTCTGATTGGCTCCCCATCACTCCCCAGCATGCAAAAAAGAACCAGGGAGGCGGTGCCCAGAGAACTGTCCTTCCCAAGCCTTCCCAGCACAGGTAGGCCCCAGGATCTGTCCCTGAAGGAGCAAGGACACACCCTACATCACCCTCCCCACAACCAATCCCAGCTGTACTTACACTGGAAGTGCCACACCAGCAAGCCAGCCACGAGGGAAAGCAAGAGGAAGCTGACCAGCAGGGCTGCCAGCACCACCCAGCGCCTGGGGCCCCGCTTCTCCACCTTCTTGGCATTGTTCACGGGCAGGAACTCCACACCCTCCTCCAAGCCATTCATGTTCTGCAGAGATACACAACACTCAGTAACTTTCCCCACCATACTAACAGCCTCTCAGCCCCACTCAGGAAGGTTAAGGACATCTTGTGAGGGCTAGCTCATGGGAAAGTCAAGAGGGAGAGGGGGTCTTCATCCTTGAATGCCTGGACCACTCTGCTCAGATATGGAGCCCACCACCCAATCAGAGGAAAATGAAGGTGGCAGGATAGGCATGAACTGCTTGACAATTGTTCCCTGGGGCTGAGAATGTGGCTCAGTGGTAGAGTGATTACCTAGCAAGCTTGAAGCCCTGGGTTTGATTCCTCAGTACAACATACACAGAAAAAGCAGAAGGTGGCGCTGTGGGAGAGCGCTAGCCTTGAGCAAAAAAAGCTCAGGAACAGTGCCCAGGCCCTGAGTTTTTTTTGTTGTTGTTTTTGTTTTTGTTTTTTTGGGGTCCGGTTGTGGGGCCTGAACTCTGGGCCTGGGCACTGTTCCTCAGCTCTTCAGCTCAAGGCTAGCGCTCTACCACTTGAGCCACAGCGCCATTCCAGCTTTTTTTCTTTTTTTTTGGTTATGTGGTGCTGAGGAATTGAACCCAGGGCCTCATGCATTGCAAGGCAAGCACTCTACCACTGAGCCACCTTCCCAGCCCCCAGGCCCTGAGTTTAAGCCCCAGGACTGGGGAAAAGAAATTGTTCCCTGAAATTAAAAAAAAAAAAAGTCTGGGTGCCTTGTGGCTCATGCCTATATTCCTAGCTACTCAGGAGGCTGAGATCTGAAGGTGGCAAGTAGAAAGTATGTGAGACTCTTATCTCCAATTAACCACCAAGTAGACAGAATAGAGTGGTGGCTCAAGTGGTAGTAGCACTGACCTTAAGCAAAAAAGGTAAGGGATAGTGCTTAGTCTCTGAGTTCAAGCCCCAGTACCAGAATAAAACAAAACAAAGGAAATGACAGACTGTTGAAATATAGTTATTGGGGGCCTCAACTTCAGCTTTGATGCAGGAGGATGCCCAGGCCACGATTGATACTGTGTGAGCCTCTAAGGCCAGCCCCAACCTGCAGTGATGCAGCTGTTCAATTAAGTGCCTCCAGTCACCTGAGCCAGAGGTTTGCAGCAGCACAGGAACTGCTTACCTTGCCCAGAAGCCTTGCCCTTGCTGATGTTTAACCAGCCAAAAGGAAATGGCAGTGTGCCTGGCAAATTGCTTTTCACTATGCGGGGAGTGGGGGAGGGGTTCCCATACAGGAGCTCATGTGGAGACAGAAAGCCCTGGTCACCATGGGAATCCGTGACCATATAGACTAAGATGTGAAAATAAACCACACTTCAAACAGACAGCAGTTGTGCTCCAGTTTCTCCCTGCCAGGGGAATCCAGGATAAAAGGGACACCAAGACAGAGGAGAGCCGGGAGCCAGGCACCAATGACTCACACCTGTAATCCTAGCTATTCAGGAGGCCGAGATCTGACGATCAAGATTCAAAGCCAGCCCAGGCAGGAAAGTCTGTGATTTTAACCACCAGAAAACCAGAAGTGTCACTGTGGCACAAAGCCGTAGAGCACTAGCTTTGAGTGAAAGAGCTCGGGGAACAGCACCCAGGCTCTGAGCTCAAGTTCCACAACTGGTCCCAAAAAAGATGGCGGACAGGTAGGATGTCCTTGGACTGGTGACAGATGAACAATTTTTTTACTGCATCCCTTAGTCCTGAGAGAACACATGCTCTTCTACTGTGGTATTTTCTGTTCACCCAATAACAGACCCCATAGAACGAACAAGGAAAGCAACACCCCACCCAAATTCCACAGACTCAGCCAGTGTCTGTGCTCACGTTCTGTGGTTTTTCTAGTAGTCGACTATTAACAATTAACTCACTGCTGTCCTAAGTTCTCTCAATTCTGTGGCAGAGACATTTACATCTCTCACTGAAATGTCCTAATTGTCTGTGTTTGTGCCTATGTAGTATCACGCTGAAAAGTGCCACTTGGACTTTCCTGCCTGAGCTAGCTTTGAGCCATGATCCTCAGATCTCATCCTGCTGAGTAGCTAGGATTAGAGGTGTGAGCCATGGGCGCCTGGCCTTCAACTTACATTTTCTTGAGGCAAGTTTTTATTTGCTTGGATTTCTTCTCGATATACAACTCCATCTCTACATATAATAGCTCAGAGCTCTGTCATCTTCTCAATTTACATGTAATGTCCACCAAATAACTTACTTCATTTTCTTTCTGGTGGCTTTCTCCAAGAGTCTTCCGTCCTTTCTCCTAGTGAACTTCCTACACACCTTGGGAACTACTTCCATCTCTGTCTTGAGTTGAAGCTCTATTTTCTAAGATCCCTTGTCTTCATTTCTCTGGATTTATTTAATTTCCAGTAGCTTTCTGAGGAGGAAATGTTTTTTAATACTTTACATATTTCTGAAAAATACCTAGTTCTACACTCACAGGTGTTGATAGTTTGGCTGGGTATACATACAATCCTAGGTTTCAAATAATTTTCACTTAAAATTTGAAAACACCATTTGAGACACATTATAATAGTACAAATCATCATCTCTTCTGCTTGTAACTTTTTAATTAAATTACTTTGTAGTCATTCTCTAAAAGCCTTCAGGTAGTATTTAGAATTGGATCTTCAAATTTCATAGGATTAAATGAAAGTTCTGCCTTTGGGGAAACTTGCTTATTTCTTAGATATGTTCTTTCCTTTGTTTTCTCTGGTCTGCTTTCCTTGAATCTTATTTTTTCTTCCTCTACTTTATCTTTTCTCTGTATTAGCCATCTAATTTTCTAAAACCTTTTAATTCAGGGTATTTTTTTTTTCATTCTTATAATCAAAACTTTTAGTGTGCAAGTATTTTCTTATTCTGAGTTTCCCTTTTTGTGGCATCTTGCATTCATCTTTTTTTTTCTTTTTTGCCAGTTGTGGGGCTTGAATTCAGGGCCTGGGCACTGTCCTTGAGCTTCTTTGTGCTCAAGGCTAGCCACAGCCCCACTTCTGATTTTTCCGTGGTTAATTAGAGATAAGAGTCTCATATAGCCTTTTCTGCCTAGGCTAGCATTGAGCTTCAATCCTCAGGTCTCAGCCTCCTGAGCAGCTAGAATTACAGGCATGAGCCACAGGCAAACAAACCAGCCTTGTATTCATCTTAAGGATGCGAAATCTGCTCATTTTTACAGTTTCATGGCGTTAACTTTCCATGTTGAAGGCCTTCCACAAATACCTGAGGTTCCTTATTTGTTCAATCCTATTTAGGAATTAGGTATAAATGGCTGTCTTGAATATCTGTGTACATGTAACACTGTATGGCACAGTGATTAGCCACATTTGTCTGTTTTTGCTAGGCACTCTAATTGATCAAGAGAATATACAATTGTCTAATCTCCTGGATGGAGTGATTTAAACCCAGCCATTATTGTTCAGAACAGGTAGTGGAATAAACTCAGTCCCCTTCTTTCCATTCCTTACTGTAGCCTTACTCTAGGGTCTCAAGACTGTCTATTCTCTGATATTTAGTTTGTTTCAGCTATTCTTCTCATCCACTAAGGGGGTATGGAGGGTAGGCTTTTTTTTTTCTTCTTGCTTGGGCAGAAATAAGGACTTGGGGTTTTTATTTGTTTGCTTTTTGTTGGTTGTGAGGCTTGGACAGCCTGGGCACTGTCCTTGAACTTGTTTGCTTAAGGATAGTGCTTTACCATTTTGAGCCACAACTCCATTTCTGGTTTTTAGGTGGCTCATTGCAGGAAAGAGTCTCACAGACTTTCCTGCCTGGAACTTTCCTGGCTTCGAACTAAGATCCTGAGAGCTCAGCCTCTGGAGTAGCCAAGATTACAGGCATGCCTGGCTCACCTCTACTTTCAGTTATAGTGAGCTAAAGGGCTAAGGATATAGCTCAGTGCTAGAGTGTTGACCTGGCATTTATGAAGCCCTTAGAAAATAAGAATCTTGGGCTGGGAAGGTGGCTTAGTGGTAGAGTGCTTGCCTTGCATGCATGAGGCCCCGGGTTCGATTCCCCAGCATCACATAAGCAAAAAGGAAAACAGCTGAAGTGGCGCTGTGGCTCAAGTGGTAGAGCACTAGCCTTGAGCTGAAGAGCTGAGGGACAGCACCCACGACCAGACCCTCCCCCAAAAAAAAGAAAAAGAAAATAAGAATCTCATGACATGATTTGAAGGCTCATTATAAAGGCAATGATTTTATTAAATCCCAAAAGTCATACATTTCACTTCTAAGGCTGATGTTTTATTCCATGATATTTCCCGGTTTGAGCAGCCTTTGCTTGTTTTCTTTTTTTTTTTTTTCTTTTTTGGTCAGTGGTGGGGTTTGAACTCGGCCTGGACACTGTCCCTGAGCATTTCAGCTCAAGGCAAGCACTCTACCACTTGAGCCACAGCACCACTTTTCTGGTAGTTAACTGGAGATAAGAGTCTCATGGACTTTCCTGCCCAGGCTGGCTTTGAACTGCGACCCTCAGATCTCAGCCTCCTTAGTAGTCAGGATTACAGGCGTGAGCCACCAGCCCCCAGCTTTTTGCTGGTTTTCTAAATGTACTACCTTCTTGCTCTTTCTCGGGATCTTACTCGGCTTTTCTAGATTACCTTTGGACTTGTCATTGGTTTTCTCTATCAGATTATAAGTTTTCTTTCGATGTATGATGGTCCTTGGTTGTCTATGAGCAGAAGGAAGGAAGCAAAGAAGGAAGGAAGCAAGCAAGAAGGGGGGGGGGGGGGGGGAGGGAATGAATCAGTAAAGAAAGAAATACCAGGAAATCATCACTATGTTTAGATACATTGCCAATTTGCAGAATAATTTCCCATTTTTTTATTTTTATTTTTTTAACAGTCCTGGGGCTTGAACTCAGGGCCTGGGCACTGTACCTGAGCTTCTTTTGCTCAAGGCTAGCATTCTACCACTTCGAACCACAGTGTCACTTCTGGCCTTTTCTGTTTATGTGGTACAGAGGAATCAAACCCAGGGCTTCCTGCATGCTACCACTAAACCACAGTCCCAGCCCCTCCTA